CCCCCCCTCCCTCGGTATGCTTATCTTCTCGCTGACCAACGATACAGCGTTCTGACGCGGCCCGACGACGTTAAAGCCATCTACAAGGACTCCGACAAGCATTTCAAGGTCAACAGCGCCAACGCCGGATGGGTGCTGGGCGCGCTGCTCGGCGACGGGGTGGGCCTGCTCAACGGCAGCCACTGGAAGCGCGTGCACTCGGTCGTGGCGCCCCCGTTTGGCCAGAAAGCCACGGCGTATGTGGGCGTGGTCACGTCGCGCGTCGAGCGCCACTTCGCCGAGTTCGAAGACCGCTGTGCGCAACAGGGCATGACGAGGCTGCTGCAGCTCCGGGCGACGGAGGATCTGAGCTCGTTCCCGTTCTGGATCCTGAAGGACATCGTCTACGGCGAGCTCCCGGAGGCGATGAACCAGGAGCTCACGGAGCTGATTGACCTCCGCAACGAGATCTGGTCGCACACCTTCAAGGGCGGGTGGTCGATGTTTACCTTCAACCGGCTCTTCTACCCGACGCTGCGCCGGCAGCTGCACGAGTTCGAACACCGCTGGGAGACCTTCAACGACGAGGCGTACGCGCACATCCTCGCGCAGGGCACCACCTCCCTCCCCATCGTCTCGCTGCACCGCTCCATCAACGAGGGCCGCGTCAAGCGCAGCGAGGTCCTGCACTCCATCAGTGAGGGCCTGTTCACCAACGTCGACGTGACCATGGGCACCTTCGCCTGGCTGGCCCTCCTGCTCGCCTTGCACCCGGACATCCAGACCGAGCTGCGCGAGGAGATTGCCCAAGCCCGGGCGCGGGGGACCCCCGAGGCCTGGGAGCAGTACATCGCGAGCCACACGACGCTCCTCGCCGGATGCGTCGTGGAGAACGGGCGCCTGCGCCCCATCGCCAACTACACGTACCCGCAGTACCTGCCGGAGGACCGCGCGGTGGCTGGCTATGTCGTTCCCCGGGGCACGTACTTCATCGTCGACACCAACGCGCTGAACCGGCGCGATCCTGCGTGGGGCGCGGACGGCGACGAGTTCCGCCCGCACCGCTACATGGAGGCGTCGGTGACCGAGTACCGGTATCGGCTGTGGCGGTTCGGGTTTGGCCCCCGGCAGTGTCTGGCCCAGGCCCTGGCGGATACGATGATGAAGTGTCTGGCCGTCTATTTGATTGAGAAATATAGGATCTCCGTCCCGGAGGCGTTGGCGGGGGGGAAAGAGGACTGGAAGACACGCAGGCCGGATACGTGGTTTTCAATGGCGCAGAACCCGGTTGTTTGCGAGAGGATTTGAGGCTATAGCTTGTTTGGGTTCGACTTGTTTGATTTAAATTAAAGCTGGTGCTGTTGTTAGGGTTGAGTGTACCCCAAGCCGAGAAGATGATCCAGGATAGGGCTACCGCATTCCTACCAGCTACCGAAATATGTTATCTTCCATGTAGAGTTTGTCAAGGTTATGCCTCCAAGCTGTCATTTTATAAAGGTACAAGATACAGTCGATGATCTGGTTGGTGAAAGTCTTTTTCTGGTCCCCACCAAGCATCTCGCTCGCATGGCGTTGGCGGCTCTGTGGCCTCATTCTTAGTTAGTTCCTCAGATAGCCTCACATGGCTGAATTCATTCATCATCCACGTGTTGACACATGGTATGGCATACGACGGGTATGAAATGGTCAGTGTATGGTTTGACTCAATAGGATCGCAGATAATAATGAGGCGCCTTGAATATTAGAGCCCTACAAGATCGCTGGTTGAGATATTGCCGTACTAGGGCACGTTTTCAAGTGGGGGACTGGCAATGCTGCTCGAGTCGCACCCTACGAACATTGTTTCGACGATCGTCGGTTGGGGGCACATACAGTCACAGAGACTGTCTGGAAATGCGGTGTGAGATACTCAACACCCATCCATTCATCCCTTGAAAATTCTCCATGACGGGTCTTGTTTGTCCCTTGCCTAGGGCTACCCCTTGCTCGCCCGTCGACCTCCCTGCCTGTGCCTTGGGAGCCCCAATTAATTGCCTTCTTTTCCAAGACCAAAGGCCGCTTCTCGCTCTCGTATCCGAATCACTCAGTTTATTCTGCTGCGCGGTCATTATGGCGCTCCTGGTGACTGAGAGTGAGAGTGAGCGAGCAGCGCCCAGTGTCCGCATCCACGAAGACGAGGCCCCCAAACATGAGACCGATTCCCTGCAAGAAGACCACCCTCAATACCCGAATCGGCTGTCCACCCTGCTCCTCGACATCTCGGCACTGGTGGTCGTCCAGTTCCTTCAAGGCCTCGACGGCACGATTGTCACGACCGCGATCCCCAAGATCACAAACCGCTTCCATGCCCTGGGCGATGTCGGCTGGTACGCCAGTTCGTTCATGCTGACCTTTTGCTCCTTCCAGCTGATTTGGGGCAAGCTGTACACCTTCTACACGGTGAAATGGACATACCTGGTCGGCCTGTTCCTGTTTGAGCTCGGCTCCTTCATCTGCGGGATCGCACCCTCGTCCACGAGCTTCATCGTCGGCCGTGCGATTGCCGGGCTGGGTGGCGGAGGCACCGGCGCGGGGTCGCTGCTGCTCGTCACCTATCTGCTCCCTCCACCGCGCCGGCCAGCTCTCATTGGGATCCTGACCGCGATCTTTGGCTTCGGTGCGGCCGTTGGCCCGTTGCTTGGGGGCGCTTTCACCGACAACGCCACGCTCACCTGGCGATGGTGCTTTTACATCAATCTCCCGCTGGGCGCCCTGGCCGCCACGATCGTCGTCTTCTGCATCCCCAGCAACACGCCGCCGGGGCGGAACACCGCCTTCCGCGAGCGCTTGCTGCAGATGGATCTGCTGGGCGCCGTGCTGCTGGTGCCCGGGATGATCTCGCTCCTGCTTGCGCTGCAGTGGGGGGGTTCCAAGTACCCCTGGAGTGACGGCCGGGTCATCGCCACACTGGTCGTCGCGGGCGTGCTGGAGACTGGCTTCGTCCTCAGTCAGATCTGCCGCAAGGATGAGAGTCGGATCATGATCTCGCCGCGGCTGTTCAAGGATCCCCGGATCTGGTCCGCCGTCATCCTGGGAGCTGCCGCTACGGCCTCATTCTTCGTCATGCTGTACAATGTAAGAAAACGTGCTCTGGACTACTGAAGACTACATGGCTGACCTGATCTGACCATTTTCCCTAGCTCCCCATCTGGTTCCAAGCTATCAAAGGTGCTTCTGCCGCCTCCTCGGGCGTGATGAGCCTTCCGATGACCATCAGCTTCCTCGTCGCCTCCACACTCGGAGGGACATTGAGCTCCAGCGACTCGTCTCCGTCCTCATCTTCGCCGTCCCCGACCCCCAGCCGCGTCCGAGCAATCCAGCGCCTCTCCCCAACCACGACCAACGCACTCCTCATGCTCGCCACTCCAATCCTGCTCTCCACGGGCTCCGGCCTCCTCACCACTCTAACCCCGCACAGCAGCACAGGCCAGTGGATTGGCTACCAGATTCTGCTGGGTGCAGGCGGGGGCCTGGGGATGCAGCTCAGCATGACGGCCGCGCAGTCCCTTGCCAGCCACGCGGACATCACCATGGGGACGACGATCATCCTGCTGTGCCAGAACCTGACGGCGACGGTCCTAGCCTCGGTGGCGGCGACGGTGCTCAACTCCCAGCTGGCGGTGCGGTTGCGCGATGAGGTCCCGGGTCTGCACGGCGATACGCAGTTGGTTACGGGGCCCGGGGCGACGGGGTTTCGCGACGTGGTTCCGGCCGAGCTGATCCCGGCGATCTTGGTGGCGTATAATGAAGCGGTAACCAGGACGTTTCTTGTATCTGTTGGTGTGGCGTGCCTCGGCATTGGGGCCATCCTGTGGGTGCCTTTGGGATGGAGGCGCGCGGCGCGGGCTCAACGGGGTGCCGACGCTTGAACTGATGCTTTCTTTCTCTTTGAATTGACCTCATTCTCTACTTGTATGATATGACTGATGGAATACAACATGGTCCAGTAAGAGCCTGCACTGGTCGCTGACCACATTTTGTTTCCTTTTCGGCCTGATCTCAGCTCAAAACTAAGACCAGGACCTTGATCGAATTCATTTAATGGGTGCCCACTGCAGACCTGCAAAGCTCAGCCCTCACTTGCCCCTCTTCCGGTTTATGGCCGTTTCCCCTTACTTGGGACCCGGAGCAAAGGGCGAGACACCAGGTTACCCACGATCCATGTTTTAACCTGTAGACGACAACAGAATCCTACTGCGTCATTATAAGTTATCCAGCTGTAACATTCAGTCCACACCACATTCTTATACTTGCTGCTAGCATGCAAGCCACTACTCCCACCGAGATACAGTACTACCCTACTTTCCAACATGACTCGTGGGAGGGTAGCTGCACCCCACCCCGGCTATACCGCCTCTCCCATCAAAGCCAGCCCCTCTCCACAAACATAGAGTTTCACCTGCAAGCATACACGGGCATCATAAGCGTACGCCCAATCAATTGCCACAGAGCTAGCAAGGCACTACGGACCCCCGGCGCAAAGGATGATTCTCTCTCATCTCCACAGAGAAATGATAGGTACACGTGTCATGCCAAGGCCAGCAATGGTTTTGCACAAGTCAAAGTGCAGAAATTCCAGTTGTGGCTGGGTGCATGCTTGACCTTGGGCCCCATGGTGGATTCCGTGGGGTAGTCATCCGCGTGCTCCTAGCCCTAGGTATTTGGCCTCGGCGCCTACACGCCGGGGGGGACACCCACCAGGGCTGGCAAGATTAAAAACACGCACCCTCATGTGTACGCTGTGCACTCGTGGATATCGGTATACGTAGTTGGTATGGATTATTCCCCTCCCTCCCCCTTACTTCTGCAGGGGGTGACCCCGGCAGAATTATCCGCTCGGCCTCGCGCGCCATGGGCCCCTCTACTCACTCCAGGGACCTCACTCATACATAGGATGTAACGGTGCGGACGGTGCGTATTACGTCTCGAGCGGTGCTAATATAAGAGGCGGAGGAGGAGCATACTGCGACGTACCTACGTACGTACAGGGTTAATTTGTAATCTCAACCCCCAAGTACCAGTACAACATAAACGACCCGCCACCCAGAGTACCAAGACCACCCACCACCCACCACCCCCAATAACCTCTCACCCACAACAAACCCCAATATGGCTCGCACAGACGACCCCAACATGACCCCTGCAATAAAGATCGTGATCATCACCCCGGTGACGATGGATGTCACGTTCTACAAGCCCCAAATCGACCGTCTCTGCCGCGCCGGGGTGGAGGTCACCGAAATCTCGCTGACCGTCGGGCCGGCCACGATCGAATCCCGCGTCGACGAGGCCATGGCCGTACCCGGCATGCTGGCCGCGGCGCTGCAGGCCGAGCGAGCCGGGGCGCACGCGCTGGTGATCAGCTGCATGAGCGACCCGGGGCTGAGTGCGCTCCGCGAAGCGGTCGCGATCCCCGTCGTGGGGGTCGCGCAGGTCTCCATGGCGACGGCGGCGACGCTGGCGCACAGCTTCGGGATCGTGACCGTGCTGGGCCGCCTCACGCCGGTCCTGCAGGCCAACGCGGCGCACTGTGGCTACGAGCGGCGGTATGTCGGCTGCCGCGCGGTGGAGATCCCCGTGCTAGACGTCCACCGCCGGGCGCGCGAGGTGCAGGAGGGTCTGAACCGGCTGGCGCTGGAGCTGGTCGAGCAGCGCGGCGCCGGCGCGGTCATCCTGGGCTGTGGCGCGCTGATGGGCTGCGCGGGCGAGATCCGCGGGTTCCTGGCGGAGAGAGGCCTGGCCGTGCCGGTCATTGACCCCGTGCCTGCCACCGTCGCCTTCGCCGTCTCCCTGGTCGAGCAGGGGCTGAGCCACAGCAGCATCAGCTACCCGCCGTGTCAGGTGAAATCGTACAAGGGGTATGAGCTGGGAGAGCGGCAGTGACAGCGCTGGAGAGTGGTCGAGATCAACCTTGGTAAATGGTCGTGGCCATGCTCAGAGCATCAAGAGCACCACCATCAGCACCAGGAAAAGAGATGACTACGTCGGAAAGAGCCTGGCGAAAGGAAGACTGCGGGATATCTTCTCGCCTTCAGTCGGCCGAGCAACCACCTGGATCGAAGCCATTGTTGGACTTCTGCAGAGATGGAGAAACCCACGTCCGCAAACCGCGCTGGTTAATTGTCCTCAAGGCAGCGTGGGACAGTCCGCGGCTTGTGCTGGAAGTGTTCCGAGCAGGTCCTCCATTAGACAGACATTCGGGATATCCCTGAATTGATTGCACTTGACTCAGTAATTGGCTGGCGCGTCTTGGTTTTCTTTTGCGCAAGTGTGACTTTCTTCTGGCCCAGGTGTTTACGTTTACTGTAGTTATCCGGGTGGGTGAACATGGGTATCTTGCCTTGGGATATACTGAAGGCCTACTACTGCAAGGATCATAGATCTACTGGTTGCGCTTGAAATCTCGATTATTACTCGCCAAGGTGTGGTATATCCTACCTCGGGACGAAGTGGCGGGTGTCTCTGAAAGGGTCATCAACATATTGCTGAGAAAGACCCCTTACACAATTCACATTTCGCATAGATGAAAACTGTACTGGGTACTAACGAAATTGCAGAGTACTTTTTTTGAAGATCTGGTGGCGATACGCTAGCTGAGCAGGAATTTGGATGGGGTCGCATAAGTGGTAGAGTGATAGGCACTCGGTATGGGAGCGACAAAAAGGCATTCAACCGACCTACATGGGGCTCGAACCCACAACCTTCGGATTAGGAATCCGACGCTCTACCATTGAGCCAATAGGCCCGAAAGCTGTCAACCATACCCCATAACAAAACTGAGAGTAGAAAACAACTCGAGCTAGCATGCTAACTCACCAAGAAATTCACTCATTAAAGGCCAAAACATAGAAACCATGGCTTGGATCACTTGGTATGGGTATAACAGCATCTTGGTAGATTAGGCTTTTTCAGCAGGATATATCGTTTTATAAGTTTTTTTTTTTTTTTTCAGTGTGATTTACAAATTAATTCACTGAGTTGTAAGTCAGCTGGCTGGGGAGGATAGTGCTTCGCCAACAACAACTTACAGAAGTGAATGCTTCGCCAACAATTCACTGAAAAAAGTGAGTCATGATCACGGGACTTCCTGACGTGCAAGTTTGTCTAACTGTGGTCCATTGGCTCAATGGTAGAGTGTCGGACTCCTAATCCGAAGGTTGTGGGTTCGAGTCCCATGTGGATCGGTTGATCACAGTCTGTGGTACTTCATTTGCTCAAGTGATTTACCATAGACAAGACCACCAATTTTTCTTTTTCTTTTTTTTTGCTTTTGATACTTTGTCCATGGTCAAGGCAAATGTCATGCACAGAATGTGCACATTCAAAACCCCATCGTCTTTTGTTACAAAATAGGGGAGAAGAAACAAAAAGACAAGGCACCCAGGATCAACTATGAAAGTCTTTGGAATTCGGTACAGTTTCCATTTACGGGATCAATTGTAAGTGACGGACGTAAACATAAGCTTAGAAGGAGTGCTAGCAACGCCCCGACAGCTAGCCTTGTGGGCCAGCTTTAGGAATTTATACAGTATATACGTACCTGACTAGTTAGGTGGTGACCACCGGCGAATCGCTCCGGTTGTATGTTGGTGTTCACCCGTTTATTATTCTCTCTTTTGCCTAAGTTACCCTCTAATACAGTCACTAAATCCCACCCACCGCCAAGCCTCTTTTTTTCCACGCGGCCGCGCTGCGCGTCCAGGTTACTCCCGCGGGTTGGTGTGTGTTGTCTTCTTTGTCCTTTTCTAAACGAAGCAATCGCCTTACACGCACTCCATCCCCTGAACAACAACAACGTTGGATGTGGTATCTGCCGATCATTTATTCTTATCTTTCTTGGATAATACGGTCTCCTCTTTCAGTAGCTCTCTAATCTCGGCCCTTCTGCTGGGTTTCCTATCTTTGGCGTGGTAAATACAATGGATACAACAAGTCATGGGAGGCAGATTCTGAATATGTTTTATCATCTATGGGTAGAAACCCACTCCTAACGGCGATAGAATAGCCTGAACTAAGACTCTTGATATTTTCCAGAACAATGAAACCCTGGCAATACCCTCCGATTTTACGTACCGCCATGTGCATCCGGGCGAGGAGCTCACCAATCCAACGTATGGCGAGGTTATATGCACAGCAAAGGGAAAGTTTGTGGTACGAGGAGGGACGGCAATTCTGGAATTATAACCCTCAGGCGAGGTGATAAAGACCTCAACACCCAATCCTTTCATTCCGTATGAGGAAGAAGACCACCGAAACAATATGCGCCTGGAAGCCGAGATTTACCAGGCACTCGGCGAATGTGCTTCGATTCCAGGATTGATCAACTGGAATCCGTTGACGTATTGCCTGACATTGGAATATCTGGAGCATGGAAACCTTCGGGAATATGTCAGGAGTAATTCCGAAGCCCTGACACCCAGCCTGCGCCACAAATTGGCGGGGCAAGCCGCTGCTGGTCTCCGCGTTCTTCATAATGCTCATATTATCCACTGCGATATCTCCCCACGGAACTTCTTACTAGATCATGAACTAAACTTGAAGATCTCGGACTTTGCTGGCTCTTCGTTGCGCGGTTCTCTCGCATCCGCATATGCGAACACGCGCTATCGCCATCCCAAGTACAAATGGGACGACCCTCCCCATTACCAGGATGACATATTTGGGTTGGGGTCATTGATCTATTTTATTATGACCAAGCAGTACCCCTATGAGGAGGTCCCGAGTGACGAAGTTGAGGCGAAATATGGAAGTTCACAATTTCCGGTGTCAGCAGCATCTCATGCGGCACTATTATTCAACAGTGTTGGCACCCGGAAGTGACTGCAGCTTAGGTTTGTGACTTCTTTAAACAGCAATCCCCTAGATACCAAACATGTGCTCGCCTTCCAGGATAGGCTTCAGAGGTCTCTTGACTTCACAGCAACTTACGCCTCTGCCGGTGTGGACTTATCTAGGGTCTATCCCGGCATACCCCTCATCTCTCTGCAAAGGGCAGCGGGTTCGACTAATTCTTTGGCCGAGATGCTTTTTCTTAGAGATTTGCACGCCGTTGTCGACTCTCGAGGCGTAGTGGGGGCAGCCGTCGGTAATCACATCCCAAGAGACTCTGTTGCATGTAGCAGTACAGGTGTTAATCCCGAGCATTGGTATGGTACGTCTACTGTATTGTCTTCTTATTCTCGGCCTGTCATTTTCTATACCTCATGTTCATTTGTATAGGGGGGCGGGGGGCGGGGGGCGGTCTGTCATGGGAATCGTACCGCGGACGCGACTCGGATTGTGAAGAGCAATCGAGACTCCTTGATTTAAAGTTCCACTACACGACCTTCACGGTCAGCGGCGTCCGTTGCATCAAATGTCATGTAGTAAACCAGGAGGAACCTCCTGCGCGCCCATGGCTCGGGTTCCGATCGCCGAGGAGCCATTGGCTCACGCACAAATCATGACGGCAGCTGCCGCTTTGTCTGCCCAACTTTCCCCGCTTGAAGTAGAAATCACGAAGTGCAGGTTGCGCGGGCTGCGATTCGTTGCTGTCCTTTTATCTTTTCTTTTTCTCTCTTTTCTCTTTTTCTCTTCGCTGCTTATCATTGTATCTCAAAATTGTAGGCGGTAGGCGCTGTGCAAGGAACCCTACAACAAAAACCTCCAATGCAAAATGTTGAATACGAACCGGCGTACGGTCGAATTGCTGTCAATCCGAGGAGTCAATTCACTTCTGTCAGCACATTCCACATGGGATCCGAGGGGGAGGGGTTCCATCCCCGCCTTTCATGAGATGTCATCTGACACCAGCCATTTGCCACAGACTCCTGATGTCATGGGAGAAATGACAAACCGACAGCTCCTGCGGGTTGCCGAATCGTATAAAGGTCTCAATGCCGGTGGGTACAGTAGCAGTGCGGACAGAGGTCTGACTTTGCGCCCTACAGCTTTGCACCATCGAGAGTCCCACACACACCCTCGGTGAAGTGAACCAGACATCTCCATTCACCACAAACCCCAGATCTAGCTACAATCCAACAGACCCAAAACTCTGAACCATTTCCCAACATCAACAAATCATGACTACCTCCCACAATATTGAACACTACAAAACCAACGTCCACGCCCACTGGGAGGGCAAGCACGCCAAGGACTGGACGGAGGTCGACCTCATCGGGTACGAGAACGCGACGAATCGCTTGTACAACGAGCTGTGCGCGCATCCGGACGCGGCCGTCGTCCAGGTCGGCCATCGCTCGACCCTGCTCAACAACCACGGCCGGGACTACCGGTTCAACGGCAAGTTCTCCAGCGAGCAGACGCAGCCGGAGCGCAGTCACCACGAGTACAACCGGTTCGGGAAGCTGATGAAGTGGGAGGGCGATCGGTGGTATGCGTATGATTTTGAGGTGGAGATTACGGATCATATGTAGGCTTAGAGGAGGGTCAGGGAGATAGTTAGGGCATGCTAGGAATTATGTCAACAGGTTGACTATTACGCTGAGATTGGTTGTGAGTGATAACTGAGTCTTTGAGGCTGGAAGCTTTGCGGTTGTCGCTTTTCTATTGTCGAATCAGGATTATGTGATCGCCACTTGTTTTTGACCTGCAAGAGGATAGGTTCCGGTGTAATACCTGGGGAGGGATCTGATCTCGAACCTCCAATTGACTGTTTCACTTCATCATCTGACCAGGTCTTGGTGCGCTCACTCTAGCACCGGGACGTATCATCAACGCATGTCGCCGTGGCCTTTGCGCGGTAGACGCCTCAACTATAGACAAAAGGATCAGTAGACTTCGACCTTGTATCTTGTGTCTACCATGTGTGCTGACACACAAGCCACTAGCTTCTACAAACGAAGTGAATTCAAGAACTCAAGCCTAAAAGTACATTTGAACACACCAGTATAGGTTCTCACACCATGCATATCCTCGGCCTGAGAAACGCCCAACGGGCCGCCGGAGCTCAGGAAAGACCCGAGCATATCGATAAATCACCTACTTTCCGCCTCACCAGAAAAGATGACTGTTACGATATCTCGCCGTTTGGGGCCCAAGTTTTAAGGATTGGTGCAGTAACTCTGAGGTATTTGTTCTATTGGACTGTCAGGACCATGATCCTGCTCTTCCCGATGATTGTCTATGAACTAACAAGCGTGCTTCAACCGAGCAACAATGCACCACCTCGCTCTGTTCTCGGGCCCTTCCTCCTCCCTGACCTCGACCCAATCTCGTCTGACCTCGCCATCGCCCTCTGCCCAGCTCGTGGTCTGGTCCCGCTCGTAGATTGTGTCAACCTCCAGGCCCATCTTCGCCGCTAACTTCAGAAACTTCACAACAATCGGCCGGCCCGTATGAAGCCCCGCAACGAGCCAAATTCTCCCCTCGGGGGCAAGGAACCACTTCATCGTCTGGACGAGGCTCTTATGCTGCAATTCCATCCAGAGGCAATCGGCGGCGATGATGCGCGTGAACCGGCCTCGGTTCGCCACCGCCCAGGGGTCGGACGCCAGGGTCCCCCACTCATGGGGCTGGACGGAGACCGCACATCCGTTCGCGGCCGGGATGTTGTGTTTCAGATTGAACGCAATTGCACCCTGCAGCGCGGGGGATGCGGGATGGTCTGTGATGGTCACTTCCGACGCGCCCGCCAGGATCGAGACTGTCGACGGGAGTGCAGCGCCTATGTCCAGATTGTGAGCATTCTAAGCGCAGGCGAAACACAAACAAGATGGAGGATGAGAGGACCAACCAGCGCCTAGTTCCAGGACTTTCTCTCCCTCGACCTTCCACATCTCGTCGACATGTTCGTGACCGGCATGAGCATCCTCGACGGCCTCCGCAACAACCAGACCGGAACTCCACACAATATGAGCGAATAAACTCCGCCGCGCATCTACTTGACTGGCGTCGGAAGTTGAGTCTACGCTGTTGGCCGACGACGAGTCCGAGTCACTCTGTTCCGGGCTACTGAATGCACTCCCGCTCTGGTCGGGGTAGGACGGAACTTGGATGCTCAGATCACCATAGCGTGGCGAGGAGTAGAGGAGATATTGGCCCGGGTCGCCGTGGAACTGTGGTGCATCGTCGGGTAAGAGATGGGGGAGGAAAGCTGCGAAGATGTCTTCGGCTTCATCTTCGGCGGCAACAGCAGCAGCATCATCATCACGCGGGTCATCCGTCGACGAGGAGCAAGTTAAGGTGGGGAGAGGGCGAAGGCGAGACAGCAGCATTTTCAAGTGATCGTTGACGTGACTATTCCGGTCAGAAGTTACACATATGTAAGTTGCTTATCGGCCGTCGAGGAACAGGAAAAGAGAGCTCGGAGTGGATTCGGTCCTCATTGAGGAGGGTTTGTGAAGAATTAAGGTACCCACTAGACTAGACTAACTACCGAGTTCAATACGTACTTATCGGTTCAAATTCCCCTGATCCACTCGCGCACTCACTCTGATGTGCCTTCGATCTGGTTCTGCGCCCCTCGGTCGAATTTCCCTCGACTAACGACCCATTAAATTGTCCCATTTGCCCCACCACAAACAAGGCTTTTGTCTGTTACCATGGCATTGTTTTCTGAACACCACTCACCGCTCAGTGAAGTACAAGTCAATCCACTTGGTTCAAAATTCATCCAAGGCTATTGAATTTATGCCACAGCACTTCCCCATATCCAGATTCACTTCTACTCTTTAGGGCTGGTAACAATGCACATGGAAAAGACTTTATACTTAGTTTATACTTTTTCTTCCTGCACGTGTAGACTATGGGTATTGTACAGTACCGTCCAAACCCTTACCGCCCCTTACTTAAGGCTATTCTGCCGCCCTCCGCACAGACTGCCGCACCCCATCAAACACCACAGACTGAGTTGGAAACAATGATGCCCGCGCCCACTTTTGTCAGTGGTAATTGGGTCATATATTGCTTAATATGATGTGCTGACCAGGCCTGCTTGGTTGTACCTACCACGCTTATTCTATTTAAAATCGGATACTTGACCTTGGCATGTCAGAGCCAACTCAAAAAGCTCGGCCATGTCGATAGATTGCCTTGGGATGCATATCCAGATTTAATCCGGACAGGGGAATGGATGACAACAGCAATGACAACTATCATAGTCTCTATGCGTATCATGTGCCAACGTATCCAGCAAATCATGTTCAGATGCTAAGATCTCTTGAGATTTTCCCGGGGTGCCGCTTATGGTCACTACTTCTACATGATGCGGAACGGAAAGAAGTGGTATGTGTCTCCCCTTGCCTCTCTTTGTGAGTCAAGAGGTTTCTTATGCTGCATTATAGCACCCGAGACTCAAGAAAGCCCCGCAGGAGCAGTATGGCTGGTGTATGATGTCCGAGAGAGGGAGTGGAAAGCCGCTGCCAAGGAGAATCTGGAGCGCATCGACCTGTGTGATCCTGGTTTCAGGCAAGGGTAGAGTGAGAACAGACTGCTACACATAGAACCAAATTTGATTGCGCAAAGGGGCAGGGAACATGAAGAAAAGAATAAGAAAGAAGTAGCGCAGAATCATCTTATGCAAAGGGGCGCCTCACGGAAATCAGCACCTCACACTTTCTCCCTCCTCCCACGCTGTCATCCGCAGAAGCGCCAGCTCCGCCTGCTGTTTGATATCCATGTCGAACCTGCGAATCTCTCCGGAAACAATGCGCAGAAACAGCTGCTTCCATAGACCCCAGCGCTCCATGCTCCACATCTGCCTGACTGGGTCGGTGACCTTGTCCCTTTTCTTGCACTCCGCGTAGACGTACTCCCCATGTAGCAGGATCCACTGCACCCCCGCGAAGAGATCACACGCGATTGCTGTCGTTTTGGATGAGGCATATTGCCGGCCGCCAGGGATGATGTTCTCCAGGGAGCAGAGGAACCTGCACTCCACGAGACCCAGGACTGTGATGCGGGCGATCGCGGACTGGAAGTTCCGCCATCGGAAATGCTCTTCGTCGCAGGTCATCCGACCGGCTCTGGCCTTTAGGTTGCGTTGTGTACACCTGTAAGCGCAAGCTAAATTTTTGGGGAACGAAGAGCAAACATTAGCAATCTGAGACGCCAACCAACAAACACTAAGGAAAAGGGGTAAAATAAGGTCAAACCAAAAGGTAGCACACGTACGAGGAACCTCTCGACGAAAGGCGTCCGCCGATCCACACCAGTTCTTGCCCAGCGGCCACAGCGGCATCTCCTCAAATGGCTCCACATCTTTCCCCTCGTTGGATTTCGGCCCCAAACACCTGACGTGGTGTAAGGGCATTGCGCGCAGTGCCTCCAGGAACAGGATAATGCGGTCCTGAGCCGGGTGGCCAGGTGGGCATGCGCTACACAACACCGCAATCCACTGAAAGATCATCTTGACTTGGCACCAAGCTGAGGAGGCGACCTGGTGGATACTTGTCAAACCTCTGGCAACTTCCTCCGGGGTAAGCTGGTAAGGGTTGGGCCTGCTGCGCAGAAGGTCGTATCTGGCCGCGTAGCGCTGGAGCAAGACCGCGTCGATCTGACGGGCGGCTTCAGAGGGGTCAAGGTCTCCTTCGACCAGGCTGACGAGGATGTTTTTGTAAGCGAGATCCTCTTCATCGTCCCATTCTTGGTAGAGGTTGAGCGGGAGGCATGCGCGCCCTTTGACGGTGTCTTTAGAGTCCATGATGTTCTTGAAGTTTGCGTACGAAAATGAGAGTGGTGGATGGGAAAGAGAAGAAAGTGCGAGGGATGAAGCGAGAAGAAAATTAGAGAGAAAGACCAACAGTTGGAGATCGGCCCCGATATGGCAGTCAGCTCATTCACTCCAAGCCTCTATGCAGGGGTAGTGGGACTTGTCCTACTTAAGTATGCCGGCTCGGAAAGTGAATGAAACACTATAAAACCGGCCCCCCGTTGTGTATCCTATCACTAGATGCGGCTTCATTCACCTGGTCATCTCCTGGTCAAGATCATCCCGACACCAAAGTCAACTCGTTCATTTCAAGCCTGTATGCAGGGGTAGTAGGACTTGTCCGACCCCAGTATACCAGCTTGAAATGAATGAAAAACTGCTAAACCCTCTTCCTGTCGTGTATAATCCTGTTATATATACCTTGACTGACCTGGCCATCTCCAGGGCCTTTCCTTTTTCTTCTCAATGCACAACAGAACAATCGTCTCTAGATCGAACAACACATTTGCTCTTTTTGTTGGTCAACCCAGTTTTTACCCTCTACATAAACAAGTCTTATTATCCGTGACCCGAACATCTAGAAACACTCATTTCCATTCTCTTATTTTCCACATTACAACCAAAAATGCAGCTTTCCCGGCTAGTTCTGCCTCTTCTTCTTCTGATTCTGGGAGCTGTCGCGCTACCTTTGAATGACACAGAAGTTTCCTTGCTGTCTTTAAATGGTACAAAATTTACCTCGCTGCCTGTGGAAGACATAGACAATATCGAAGGTACAGTCGCCAAGGTGGCACAGGGCGTTTGTTAACCCTTTTTTTGTATGTGTTTCTTGATCCCTGTTTACCTTGGCTGATAAAACTTTTCGTGAGCAGAGATGGCTTATCTGCAAGCCCAAGACAAACAAGTCCGACGTCAAAGAATTCCACGTCAATGTCGATGATGCCAAGGCTCAGGCCAAGGCTGTGGGCTTTACCACGGGCAAGAGTGGCGATCCTCACGAGTTCAAGAACACCGACAAGATCCAGTGGGGTGTGAAAGGATGCAACAAGCTCGAGGCAGATATGTATGAGTATCCAATCTTTTGGGAAGGAGCAAAGGTCAAGCAGTGGAAAAAGGACGAGAAGACCAGTGATCAGGGGAAAACCCCGATCCGAGTTGTGTATGTCCAGACGAAGGACAAACAGCTCACGTTCTGTGGCGTCATGATTCATGTCGACGTCCTCGCCAACTACCAGGGTGAGGGGTTTTTCGCCAAGTGCAATCCTTGACTTTCAACATTGATTGAGACGCTCATATGGCAACTGCAAAACCTTGCGTCTTTGAGTGAGACATACTGAGAAAGTTGGGAGAGGTCAATTGGTGAAGCAAGTTGGCCATCAGTGTTTAGTAGCCACCATTGATCACACTTCATCTGTTCTATGTTTCGGAATCTTCTCTCTTTTCTTTGGAATATTTGCCTAGACTTCTGTTGAATATGCGTGTCCTTGGTATCATTTGTTTCTGTCCGCCTGGTTTCTGTCGTTCACCAATGTCGTGGGACTGATTTTGACGGATAAGATATCTCTTCGATAGGTGACCTCCGCAGCCCTACAATAAATCATAATAGCGGCAGCGTCGATGAGCTGCGATAAACACCAAACTCAACATCCTATGCAGCTGCTCTGATAATAGCTTATGACCCTGGACTCATTCAACTGGTCTCGGGGTCTTAGCGCCGATCATTTTTTGGAAGTCAAGATCCTGATCTTCTTCATGCAGTTTAACCTCGATATTCGCCTTTACGTTTGCGCCAAGCGGAGGACACTACCTTTGCCTCAACAAACAAGTACACCACTTACCTCGGAATCTGTGACTCGAACATCAAGTACAAAGAACAATCCGAATTATACAGCACAAACATCATTACCAGTGGGTCTACGCAAGGACGTTACTGAATATCTCCCCTAGACGCAGCCTACAATGCCTTTGTCTAACCAAGATTCTTCTTCAAGAGCTACCCTATATAAAGAGTGATCGAAGATCATACCGTCTTCTTTGTCCTGCTCACTTTCTACTATCTCACGTGTCTCAAGAGCAGATTCTCCAAGAAACAATCCAAGGCCAAGGACTGAGCAATGCCGATCACTGTACCACATAGCCGCGACGCAGCGGGTTTCCCGCAGTCGGGGTCCTCATATCAGCAGCAAGTGGTCTCCTTTCGACCCATCCCCAGCCCGGCACCCACCGGGTGTGCGGTCTGCATCCTGAGCGACCAAGCCCTACTAAGCCACGAGCTATACTTCTGCGGGACATGTAGGGCCATGTACCACCGGCCCTGTCTCTACGCGCTGCTGCTGCAGCGGAGCCATCAACTCTCCCTGGCAGGAGGTACGTCCTCCGCGCCAGTAGCGCTCCACAGGTGCCGAACCTGCGGGATCGAGGGGGGCCAAGCCCCCATCCCCTCGGCTGCCACAGGGCCTGGAGCCCCCCGACCCTTCATCACCACCCCCTACCACTACGACCGCACCCCCGCAGGTCTCTACGTGTGCACCTACATCTCCACCGCACGGGACGGGACCTCGCGGTTCTGCAATCTGCACTTCAGCGCGTGGCCGAACTACCGCACCCATCATCATCAGGCGCATGAACGGGCGCCCGATGCCGGGCATTCGTGTGAGGGTTGTGCCGTAAGTAGTAGTAGTGGTGGTGCCAGCACTGCTAACGCGACCGCGACCGCGACTGGAACTGTGACTGCGACTGCGATAGCTACCCCTCCCCCTGTCCCTGTCCCTGTCCCTGCCCCTGCCCCTGCTCCTGCCCCTACCCCCACCCCTACCCCTCCCATGACTCTCACCGATTTCCTTCTAGCCGTCGAGGCGGAGAGCACCGAGCCCCCAATGCATCTCCTGCCCCCGCCCATCTCCCTAGAGCCGGAACGAGAGGTCAGCACCACTCCGACGACACCCACGACCCCCAAAGACCAGCCCCACCCCCAGGCCGCATACAACTCGTTCTTCAAACGCACCAAAGAAGGCCACTTCATCTGCACCTTCCCCGTCCCCACGAGGACCAGGACGACAACAGCCGCCACGAAGCCGTGCGGATGGCGTCTTGGGAAGTGGCATAGTTTCAGGAAGCATTTTTGGCGGCAGCATATGCCCCAGGAAAACGCGGGGGGCTGTTCTTGCAGTGTCAGTAACAGTAACAGGAACCCGAGTAGCGGTAGTACTCACGCTAATGCTGGCAGGGGCGGTATCGCTATCACCGCCGAAGCTAACCCCTTACCTGGGCAGCTCCAGCGCCGACGGTCTTCCACGGTGTCTACTTTGGCTGCTTCGTGTGTTCCAGCGGCTTCGTGTGTACCACCGGCTTCGTCCGTCCCAGCGGCTCCGTATGTTCCAGCGGCTTCGTCCGTTCCACCGGCGCCATATGCATATACCTCACCGACCCCGCCCACAAACCCAGTCCAGCTAGAACTGCTCCTGCAATCGCAGCAGCAGCGGTACAGACCGCCGCCGCGACCGCAGGCGCAGCCGCCGGTCATCCGACAACGCCAGCCACGGTTCTGCCCGCTCTGCGCCGGGGATTTCGGGAATCTGGTCCCACTGGTCCAGCATCTGGAGGTCGACCACGCCACGGAGTTTCCGATCTGTATGTTGTGTCTGTCGTGGCGGGCGGATTGGTGGGGGCTGCTGCTGCATCTGGAGGAGGATCATCCGGAGTGGGATGGGTTGTTCGAGGATCCGTCGGCGGTGCGGCGGGGTTTGTTTGCTTAGAGCGGCGTCTTTGAGGGCTCTGGGATTTATGATATCACAATCAACTGTCATATTAAGATGTATGTAAATAATATTCTCGATAGCTGGATTTCGAAGAACACGCGACAGTGTGATACATACTAAAAAACAATGCGAGTGAGGGATTCATGTACTGTACTAGCGCTTCTGAATCACAAAATGTAGACAAATTAGGTACGTTATACTTGTTGTTAATATCCCTTGTTCTCACCATGTATTTACCTGATCACAGTAGTATAAGACTTTCAATCACCTGTCCCACTGCACAGCGCATAACAGCATTCGACATGTGTAAGTAATCCATCGCTCAACCTCCGAGAAATGCAAAATAAAAGATCCCAGCCAGTGAGTGCATCGGGAGACCCACCCAGTCGCATCTAGACCAAACATGCGAGCATGCAGCGCCCCACTCTTACCGAGTACTCCCCTCCAAAAACAAAAGTAAAAGCCCAACGCGGGGGTTGAACCCGCAACCTTGAGATTAAGAGTCTCACGCTCTGCCGATTGAGCTAGCCGGGCTGGTTGGTTGAAGTGCTGTCGCATGCTTGCGTACATATACCCCAACAAGCTCTACTCTATAGTCGATGACTGCATCATCGCTTGCACACCTGACAGTCAGTCTGAGGTAAAGACAGGGGTTGTGGTGGACAAAGCTAGTCTAACCCCCGAGGCTGAGCTAGCACGTGCTTCTAGAAACCAACGAATTCCGAGATCTGTGGCTGTGTAGCAAAATATGGATCGTTGCGGTGGTTGTATATACTTGCGGGAGAGCCTTTGCCCGCTGCGAGGTACCCGGTCAGCTGGCAGTCCACCTACACACGCGTGCTATCATGAAGCAGCACAGATCAATCATTATGACCTGCAAGCCACTTCGATGATTCGCAACATGTGGCATTCGACTGACCGTCATGTGTGTATACATCATCGCCGACGCTCACCGAGTCGGCGGTAGCGGAGCCGAGTGCCAAGGCGTAGTACCCTCTCGGGATTTATGAATGCCTGATAATCCAGGCAGCACATCGCAGCGCAGGCATTCCGGCCGACTGATCGCCTCTCTCACAACAAGAGTCGGCGCTGATATGCATGGGGTCGTGCGGACTGAAATAGATATTTCTGGCGTAGGCCTATAAGCAGACGGGCGGTCGTGGGATGGACCGCGAGCCAAATCGTGCGAATTGCTATACAGGAGGCAAGAATCCCTGCCCCAAATATTAGCGCATCGGCAATACCACCAAGAGAAGATTGGGGGGTTACAGGTCAATCGAAATCAGAAGTGGAAAGGGTCAGTTCGATTGATGGATGAGAAGGTAAAAGGTCAGCAGACTATATGCAGGATGAAATGGTGGAAGAAGGAAGGGAGAGAAGAAAAAAGTCGTAGGAAAAATGACAGTCAGTCGGACCTGCTGCAAGTACACGCTCAGTCGCCCGCATACAGTTCTCCAGGCCCAGACCTCCCCAACTAGACCTATATCTACCAAGTAGAATGTGATGCTTGAACCACCAGATTTACAGATTTATGTTCATGTTCATCATATTCACAAAGAAGCAAAGAAAAACGTAATCATCACACATCACAAGGACAGATTCGCGCAGCTGAACGCCGGCGAAACCGACCCGGCATAATCTGCAATGATCGCCTCGACGGCCGCATACAGCCCCGGGCCCAACAGAAACAACCCACACGCCATGATAAACACATGGATCGCCGTCATGATGCTGCGCCCCGCGCCGGCGAACAGCTTGCCCTTGTATAGTTGCCAGTACGCCACGGCAAAGAAGATAAATCCGAAGAACGAGTCAAACGCCGCACCCAGCAGAGACAGGAAGTCGCCCATGCTGGGGATGACCTCCGAGAAAATGAAGCCCAGAATCCAGATCGCCGCCATCAGGCCCAGCCACACCCCCCAGCCGATGACCGTGTTGCTGTGCGCGTGGCGCGACCGACCCATCAGATGTCCGAACACGAACTTGGCGCTGACGTTGGCGTAGATGACGGCGATAATGAGAGTGGGCGCGATGACGAAGCCAAAGGAGGCCTTCTTGTACGCGACCGTCCCAAGACTGCCGAACGCCGGTGCGGTGGAGTACTGACCCAGGTAGCGGAATCCGATGGCTGGGGGGACGATGAACAGGATAACAGAAATTCCAGTAAGGACGGCGAGGGCCTTGGGGAAGTCCTGCGGACGCTCCATCTCGGCGATAAAGCTCGGGAAGAGGATCTGGGGCACCCAGAGAAAGGTGATGTTGAGGACTGCGTTCATGCAGTTGACCCAGGTCGTGCCGGGAAGGGGAAAGGCGTAGGTGCGCACGGGACCGTCGGTGGGGTAGTTCCCGTTGTACCCATACAGTGGCGCTGTCTCAATCCCCGCAAAGATAAGGAACAGAAGTATGGCAATAGCCATACAGGCCGCTACAGAGGTAGGTTAGCACCATTACGCGCACGTGGGGTCTAATGCTTTCCACCCGAGAACTCACACGAGAACATGGACATGAAAGAGACATGGTGCAGCGTCCGAGGAACGGAGAGCACCACGCCCATGATCGTGCAGATCACCGAGAACACCACCGTGCAGAGGGAGTGATCCGACAAGGTGTTGAGAATCTTCGCCCCGGTCAAGATGTGGAAGCCGATCAGGAGGATGTTGTTCGCCATCAGCATGAACCCGGCAAATGCGTAGGCGATCCGACTCTTGCCAAATGCATAATACCCGAAGTCGCCTGCCCATGCGATCGTTAGCCTCGATCTCGAGTCGCAAGAACCATCCACCAGAGCTTCTTACAAATATTTCGGATCTGTGGATGTTTCATGATGAACTTGTGCATGGTCGTTGAAGTGATCCAGAACAGGATCCCGGAAAGTAACATGGTGATAATCCCTGGCACCCACCCTAGAACTCTGGAAATCCAACAGCTGTTAGTACCCATAACACACAATCACGGGATCGGCTTAACTCACGAGAGCGACCAGGACTGCGACATGATAGCCAGACAAACCTGCTCTCCGCACAGCAGCCACGCTCCCTTCTGCCACGACATAGTCCGGAGCTGGATCTCATGTTGGTTGTCTGTGGAATGCGCACAACCGAAAATTAGCCATCATCATCGCCATTTGGGACAGCCATCCTAGCCTACCCTCATTCTTGAGCGCATTCAAGATCTCCGCCGAACTGTATCCATCGGAATCGAACTCGTCGACATCGGCGGGCTGCTGCACCGGCTCCTTCTTCTCGTCGTGGATCATCGCGAAAGAGTTGGAGTTGTTGTCGAAGTGCGCGATTCAGCAACGAAGTATGAGGGACTCGTATTTCCGCGGAGGCTGCAGGGTTTTAAACAATCAAGATGTTCTAGACGCAGCACTAGTGGAGGGCGGGTTGATTGGAGTGCTATGGCGTGATAGCGCGGCCGATGTTCGCGATAAGACCCCAGATAGCCAACCAGGAACATGCGTTCCTCTTTAGCTTGCTGATGGGCGGAGCACGATGGAGGCAAACTCAGATGCGAACCACCTATGATGAGGATATGAAAGTAAGAGTAAGAAAAAAAAAAGGAAAAGAAAATTTCAGCAAGCTAAGCAGGCGCGCTGGGCAGTGGCAAGGAAGGATTTCCAGGAAGACAGAAAGGCGACCGATGGAAGAAGGAAGGTCGAGCTGACTGCAGCACCTGCAGACGGTCCACGGTGTGCTAGTCGGAGATGGCCGAATCTGGATTGGAAAGAGGCGGCCAATGTTACCCTGCCATGACCCTTACATAATCGGGGTGACCGTGGACAAGGTGGTGTCACTATCTGCCAGTGATGGTTGCAAATTGATTGTAGAGGAATATGGTCAGTTGGTCAGTTGGCATGGATGGGCGAGATTAAGTTGACAGCCTTGTGGTTGACACTACAAATTAAGGTTGCGAAGTGTGTTCCTGGAGGGGTTGGCAGGGGTTCCACTGGCTCATGCGAATTCGCACACCACGTGTGCTGTGAATGGCGTCATTTGGCAATGATGGGCAACCCATGCTAAGCTTTGCACATTCTTTGTCAACTCGGATGTTTGGGAGGCCTCGTATTGATCATGTTTACATCCAGTGGCTTGCGTGATTCTCGAATCCTGCGATCCTTCGACCAAGTAGCTAGATAGACCGTAACTTAGCAACGGCTAGGGCTACCGCCGTGCAACCTACCTCATCACCAGATACGATGCGTTTGTATGACCTATCAAGGCTAGCAAATTTGAATTCGACTATGTAGCTCTCACTGTGTTGAAGGAAAGTCCCACTTAACTTTGAACGGGGTCTTGATGGTGGATAAATCATCACCCCCACAGCAGCGGTCGGCAGCTCCGGGCTCCATTTGTGATACCCACTGACCAGCTTTACTCGACGCTCAATTCAAAGACTATTTGAATAGGCATATCCCTTTGCTGCCAGCAACATAAGCAAGCTCTTGGGTTCACTTGCACAAGATCCTCCCGATGCTCTGTAGCAATGGCACAGCCCGAAACAGCACTGAGCACTGCACTTGACTTTCCTACACGAGAGTTTTCGTTCTTGCCTTGCGCCAATGGATCGCACAAGCAAGGACTGAGATGGGTCTGGAAGCAGATCAAGATTTGGCAGAAAAGCTTCAGAAGAGAAAGCGGTGAGTTCATGAGAGCACTATTCCACTTCCGGTGACTAGACTTAAACAAAGTCCGTGATGCCAAGACCTGCATCTGTTCAAGTAATTCTGCCTGAACCATGAGGCAACCAAAGCGACCAGTATGTTGAAGCTACAACATCCTACTCTTCTGTCGGATCCGACAACGGTCATGTGACAGCAAAGGCTGGATACTATGCCACACTCTAGGACCCCAGCAACGTTTCGGGTCTCTATGCTCTGGGTATGTGTAAATTTACTACTGACCAAGGCATGATGCTTCGAAAGAACCGGCCTCTCTTCGAGCATACACATTGTTTAACTATAGTAAGAACTATCTCTCTTACACCAGTGTTGTGACTCTACATCAAGTGGCACTTAGAAAGCATGATTTCACAAGGTCCAGGTCTGAGACTTACATTTCACCCTTTATAACTTAGTAGTCGCAGATCAGGGCGCTGATGCAGTCAGCATCTCTGACATTATTGTTCCCCTAGTATATCGACGGCCAACCCAGTCACATATAGATTTCCGTCTGAATTTTTCCGCTGGGAACGTCGGCCGATGGTGATGATTGGCATATGCTGAGGTCTCATGAGTTGCTCCTGGGCGAGGTGCAGATCTATGGGGTGTGGATTCGCAGGAGGACGGATCCGACGGTACTCTCCATCACGTGGAGATGTCTGCTCTGCGAAAGTATGTCAAAGCTGTTGTTTGCTCCAGTTGAGGGCTTGAGGGTGCTCGATACTGTTGTACTGGAGGCGGGACTTCAGGGTATTCATCGAGCTTGTGACGGGTCCGCGAAGTTATGGGGTGACACCGAGAACATGCGAAGAGCCTAGCTATTATGGGAGGGAGGGAGGGTGAGGATCTGGAAGAGCAGGAGTCGCCTCTTCTGCAAACGAGATTACATCTTTTCTTGCTCAACCTAGCGGGGTTTGAACGGGACACGCCCGAAGTGGCAAAGGAGATGGACTGGTAGTGACGCTTCATGAGGTGAATGAGCTCTGCCTCAAGATAGTCTGCCCCACTTTCCTCGCGACTCGTCACAATGAGAAGACAGTAGAAGAACAAAAGAGAGATGGAAAAGCTTTCCCCAACGGCTCTTCTGGCGCAAAATGCTTTCCGTACCGACGTCTCGCATCGAGTCCAACGCTTGCATGCTGTACTGTGGACTGGTCAAGTCTCCCAAACAAGATACTAATCCTCATCCGTCAGTCGAAAACGTGTGGAGCGAACATACCCACCCGATCATGCATGATCCTGCTCTAATTTCGACACTTTTGTCGCCATAGCACAAGTCCATAATGATCAAGGTGAGAAGCTCGGCGGTCCTAGATCATTTACAGGTGCTTGGTTGCTGGGCGCTAACATTGACTTGTAAATAAAATGCTTAGCAATCAAAAAAGACGCCGACAGCATCTGCACAGTCTAATTCCCCGACGAGGTATCTGATGTGGGTGCAGGTACTACTGCATTTCTCCATCCCATCCCGCCACAACACGGAGATCGACACCGCCGACAACATAAGAAGACTTGCAGCATTCAATTTTCCGCCAAAGAGCCCTCAACCTCGGACCAGGTCGCAGACCATGTGTGCTGTAGAGCACGGAATGCGGTGCTATTCAACTGCTAGCATGCATTTAGGATAATTCTGCGATCAAAAATCGTCAGGAGGTCTGCGCCAAGCAAGACGAATACCCTCGACATGCATCGGCTGGGTAAATCGACAGTCCCGGACAGGGCCTCGACACAGCATCCAAGTAAGCCGAGTACATTAAAAGCATCAGATATAGCATCCAAATAGCATCCGTGAAGGTGTCTTGAACCCCCAGTGGTTCTGGCCGTGCCAAGACGAGCCGACAAGCAGCGCAGCACAGCCACGATGGAGTCAAACATCCGCGCTCTTGGCAACCCCGTCCTGAAACGCCCTCCTGCTCCATTTGTGGAAGTTCTGCTGGAACCGCTTGCCAGCTAACCCCCGGATATGCGCGCATTGTGCTTGGCATGTGTCGAAACTCCGCTTCTTCCGCAAAACCCTAGATGAAGCGGTGTCGCCTCCGTCTCAGCAAGAACACCAACCGACAAGCTTGGCGGGGTCACTGCCGACAGTTGCCATGCAAGTGCTTGAACGCCTTAGTTGATGCTCTAGAGACGATAGTCCTTCCACCTATGGCAAAGGGGGTCCAGCCAAGTCTTGGGTCGACCTCCTGATGATGTATACTCGTTTAATGAGGGCGCTTGGAAGGTGAAGATGGCACCACCAGCACCCATCCATCAAGCTATAAAGACATTGTCTCCTATCCCAGCTGTCCTGACAATCCATCAACCAACTCACCTTCTCACCTTCTCTTCCCTTCTTTCTCTTTATTCCAACTATAGTCTTTTGCTCTCCTTCCATTCTACACAATGACCAACCTCAAGTGGATCATTGCAGTGGCCGGCCTCCTGTCTGGACAGGTCCTGGCTGCTCCTACTGCCACCACCCACGCTAAGCGTGCCACTGTCAGCGACGTATGTACTGTTTCCTCCTTGAACGTGTGCAACACTAACCTAGCTACTCCCCCGTAAAGAGTGCTTTCGGCTACGCCAGCCTGAACGGCGGCACCACCGGTGGATCCGGCGGAACCACGACGACCGTCTCCTCGTACGCGGCCTTCACCTCGGCCGTCAGCAGCGACGACAAGAAGGTGGTGTATGTCAGCGGCACGATCAGCAAGGCGGCCGACCAGGTCAAGGTGGGCAGCAACACCTCGATCATCGGCAAGGACGCCAACGCCATCCTGGACGGATTCGGCCTGCTGGTCAAAAAGAAGGAGAACGTGATCATCCGCAACCTGGGCGTGAAGAAGGTGTTGGCCGACAACGGCGATGCCATTGGTGTTCGTACGTGCCTACCCCATTGCCCGCCCCCCCTTTCAGATAAGAAAGCCCTCCAAGCGGACGCTGACTGCCATCTGCAGAATACTCCAACAACGTCTGGATCGACCACTGCGACGTCTCCTCCGACCGCGACCACGACAAGGACTACTACGACGGTCTGATCGACGTCACCCACGGTTCCGACTACGTGACCATCTCCAACACCTTCCTCCACGACCACTGGAAGGCCTCGCTGGTGGGCCACTCGGACAGCAACTCCGACGAGGACACCGGCCACCTGACCGTGACCTACGCCAACAACTACTGGTACAACATCAACTCGCGCGGCCCCTCCTTCCGCTTCGGCACCGGCCACATCTACAACAGCTACTACCTCGATGTCAGCGACGGCATCAACACCCGCGACGGCGCCCAGCTGCTGGTCGAGTCCAACGTCTTCAGCGGCTCCAAGAAGCCCCTCTACTCGACCGACAGCGGCTACGCCGTCGCCAACGACAACGACTTCGGCGATGGCGAGAACGCCGCCGACAAGGGCACGTTGACTTCCGTGCCGTACAGCTACACTCTGCTCGGCTCGAGCAAGGTCAAGAGTGCTGTTGTGGGCACGGCCGGACAGACTCTTACTTTCTAAGCTTGACTAGCTTGCCTAGCTTAGCTTCGCTCTGCCGGATGAGCGGGGTTAGTAAGGGGGTAGTGGATAGCAGTGGTAGTGGTGGTGGTTTGTCATTCGTTTAATTTCTTAACGGGCTCTGATTTCTCAGGGCCTTTTCTTTATCCAATTGAGTTGGTATTGGTGATCCTTGGTTCCTCGGTCTTTCGTAGAGATGGGCAGATGTAGTCGTCACCGCTGGCGCCAAGAATGCTCGATCCGGACAATGTGAAACTGCCATGGCCTCGCCAAGGGCTTGTTGGGGCCCCACAGGCACCCGCGCTCGGGCCAGCTGTCCCGCATGGTTCGTTTAATCTTCGGCAATTGAGGCCCTGAGTTGGGTTGGTATGCGGCTGATGAATATGTCGGGGTAGTGTTAAATGAGATGTGTTTCAGGTACCGCTGCGACATGGCAGCCGAATGACCTGTCATGACGGAGACACATCCCATAGGTGAACATCCATAGACTGCACCCCTTGCATTGGTGAGATGAGTCCACCAGGGTAGACCACATAGTATTTGTGTGTTAATGGGTATAGCAAAGTCCCCAGTCCCTTCAAATCCCAAACCAGCACACCTCCTTCCTTCCCTCCAGACAACATCTAACGCCTACCCAAATCCCCTTTCCACACTCAACCCACCCCAAACCAACCCCCCCCTAAGCCCCCCGAACGCTCCCATCCAACCTCACCACCCAAACCCTCGTCTCCCCCATCAAGAACATCTCCCCAGCCTCCCCAAACACAAAATTCGCCACCCCCCCTTCCACCCTAATCTTCCCCAACAACACCCCGCCCGCCGACCAAACATTCACCCCATCCCCGCACCCGGCATACACATTTCCGTGAACATCCACCTTAATCCCATCGGGCACGCCCTCATCCGCCATCGCAAACACCCGCCGGTTCACCAGAAACGGCTCCCCGTTGATCGCCGTGACATCGAAAGCGTATCTACGCCAGCATAGTTAGCCACCCGCCCGGGTCTACAGTCACATCCACACCCCAAACCCCCGACCCCCACAACCCCTTCCACAGCTAACCATCACGAACAAGACAAGACAAGACAAGGGAACAAACATACATAGTGGCCGCCCTGGTCAGATCCACCGTGCCATCGCCGCGCGCCGCCCCGGTATCCGTAACATACACCGTGCCGCCCCCCGGCGCAAAGCAGATGCCATTCGGCTTGTCGAAGCCGTCCGCGACCACGCGGACCGCCTTTGTGGCGGGGTCGTAGCGGTACACCTGGTTCGGGAGCCGGGGGGCCGCCGCCGGCCCCGCACCCCGCAGACCCTGGATGTAGGCGTAATCCGGGTCGGTGAAGTAGATGCTCCCGTCGGTGGGGTGGATGGCTACGTCGTTGGGGGAGTTGAACGGTCTGGAATGGAAACTGGTGAGTAAGGGGCTGCTGGTGTAGTTGTTGTTGTTGGTGGCTAGGGAGAGGGTGTAGAGGCCTGCCGGGTGGGTGGGGTCCCCGTCCCCTTGGCCGCAGAAGAGGATTTCGTGGTTGTCGTTGTAGGTGTAGGCGTGGCCGCCGTTGGGGTTGGGGATGGCCGGGGTGGGCGTGATGAGTTGGGCGGTGAGGGGGCGCGGGTCGTCGAGGCTGAGCTTCGAGATTTGGATGGTGCTGGTGTTGGTGTCCGGGTCCGTGAGGATGTTGCTGGTCATGTACAGGGTTCGCGGTTGGGGGATGTAGATCGGGGCTTCGTGGGCGAAGGCGGTGGTCGTGTTGTGGTTTGTGGTCAGGATGCTGAGGGTGGGGTGCGGGCCGGTTAGGTTGAGGAAGTCCGGGTTGTGGACTTCGAAGGCCGCGGGGAGGGACGCTGCTGGTGTCCAGGTGGGGGTGAGTGCGGTCGTGGTCATTTTGGTGGTGGTGGTTGCGGATGTACAGTACGAGTGCGGATGGTGGTGCGGTTGCCCTTGCTTTATCTATCGTTTGGAGGCAGTCCATGTGGTTGAGGCATGATGTAAGGGGCGCGTTGATCATTTGCTTGCGTCGGACAAGGTTTTCCTCAAGTACTGCACCACTACCACGGGGCCTCTGCGTTGTCCTGCATTGCCTGTTTCGGGCCGCTTTGGACCCCCGTTACGGGCCAAGATTGATTAGGGTTGGGTTGCATATCTGACCTGCGGCCACTTTGGGGGAGGATCGCCGATCCATGGCGGGTGGTCTCACCGAGGTTTCCCCGGTGCGGAGGTGTCGGCGTACAAGATGGACTTGGGAAGACCGTTGAAGACTTGTACCCTACGAGTATTGATCTCTTTGTCTCGCTAGTCTCGTCTTTTTGAGTAGTCACAGAGGCACAGCGGGAGTCGAATGTAATCGGCTGACATGGAGGGATATCTGGGCTAGTTCGGAATCCTATTCCGAGGACGATAACCGGTTCCGGCCCCCATTGCACTCCCTATTGTAGAGCCCGATCGACTTAGCCGTTTCACTAGCTAGAATAAGCATTGCTGTCATACTTGAAGCTTCGCCATCTGGTTTCGACGCTTTCCACCGATCAGTCGTTCGTAAACACATAACGCACATAATGCATGTTCATACATAATAAATCTCCGTACGGAATTCATGTTATAAAGATCACAATGTACCCACGGAACACTGAGATCCATTAAGTCATGTTCACCAGCATCTCCTGTCAGTATATAGACTAATTCGATGCATATGGCAAGTTAGAAGAATACTTAGCCATGCTGTATAATCTGAGTCCCTATCCAGCTCATCTGGACGTGTGCTGTGTTTGGAGATTGGGTTTACACTCTCGCCGGACCGACGTCTCCATACCTCGATCTTTCAGGGTGTCAGAAAAGGAAAACTAAAAGGAAGATCCGAATTGGAAGAAAAACTGGACAGTATGTTCTCCGAGTGGGGATAGCAACTGCTAAGCTCGAGAGCTCCCCACTCCTCACTGCCTACCCACCCTATGACTCTAGTCTCCCTTATTTCACGGTCTTGCATAATCCCTCGCCTGCGAGCTGATCAGCTCACACAGGAACGAGACCCTGGATCCACGATGCATGACACCTCCATCCGACTGCGCGATAGGGGATGAGAGCTGGGCTGTGAAGCATGATATCATTCCAAAAGAAAGAAAGAACAAAAGCACCGCAAAGAAATGCGCACCTCCGTACTTCCATTCCCATCGACAAGACCAGCCAGAGAGATGAGTGAAAAGCAGATAGCTAGCAACGAACCATCCCGAAAGAAGCTCACAGCACCCGTTCCTCATGGCCTAGAGCTCAAGTCCCGACCGTCTAGTGTACAGTACACACTGCGGACCATGGCCTAAAAGACACCCGTCATTGCACCTCTACCTCTAGCCTCGTAACCAGCCACCACCTCACACCAGCGGATTACACCACCCGCCACCAGCGCAGCGGAACCTCTCGCACACTGGTCCAGTCCCACCCCCTCGCTCGCCAGGTGATACAAGCACTACGCCAGTGTCCCAGCCCGCAATCGGCGGAGCTAGCGCATACAGGCAAGCCCTACTTGTGCCCCCTCCACGCGAGCTATCTCCCCACCTCAAGCCGTGGGATGCGTGGCTCAGCCTGGGTTCCCGGAAATTACTTTTCTTGGGGTCCAGCACAACGGCAACTCGTTCTCATGTGATATAAACTCGGGCGACAGACTAAAGAAAAAAAAAGGTATGTATCGAGGAGCCAGGAATGGGATCCTTGTCTAGTGCGAAGTGTTAAGTGTCGCTTAGCGTGCCCCCCTCTCCTCTCCCCTGTCAGCTTTTAGTGGGAGTGGCGTTGTGGGTTCGGGTCTGGACATGTCGACACGGACACTGGACACTGGACACTGGATAGGGGAGGGTGCGCTTTGGGGTTAATTTCTACGAGGGAAAGGTGTTTGAGGTGTTCTTGGGGGGATTATGGGAGCTTTGTTCATGGGGTGGGAAATATAATTATTATTGATTACCACTGCGAGGGGAGATTGCTCGGGGATGGGGTTAGTACAAGTCTCTGGTCCCGGTTCTGGGTGTTTGTGCGAACGGTCCTTGCCGCTAACCCAGCTAAGGTCGTGACTAGTGACTAGTGGGATAAGAAGCACCCCCCCTCCCCCCTCGGCTTGAGATAGATTATGGGGTGATTTCAAAGCAGGGGTAAAGCAGGGGTACGCGGTTTTTTCTCTTCGTTTAGGTTCGCTAAGATTAGTGATGTATAGCCACCGCCCACTCTATTTGCTGTTATTGAAACACGTAGCGTGCGGAGACTGATGGGGTGTCAGATTAGTGCTTCTATTTCATCTATAGAATCCTTCTATCCGGATAACATGTGTCACATATATAGTGTAAAATGTGTAAGTAAAGGAAATGACTAAAGAATGTGATGGACCCGGTGATTGGTCCTGTGCTTATCACCGAGCGTTTCCGCCAAAACATTACACCGGCGTCGTGGTGGTCGTGACCGTCGTCTTGACGTGGGGCACGGGGAAACTGCCGGCGGCGTCGAAGTCGATGCTGCGGGCGCTGCTGGTCTCGCTCAGGCTGGGGCTGTGGCGGGTGGCCTCCTCGTCGGCCTCGTTGGTGACGTGGAACTGGCGCTGCTCCCAGATCTCCAGGCGGGTGTCGTGGATGCGCTCGCCGGACTCGGTGCGGTCGATGGTGGAGCGCAGCTGGGACTTGTCGCCGTTGCGGAAGCGCGACAGGTGGATGGTGGAGCTGTCGAAGCGGCTGGTGAACTTGCCCGTCGTCTTGCGGCTGCGCGTGCGGCTGCTGCGGTCGTAGGAGGAGTGGTGCAGGAACCCCTTCAGGTTGAACATGCGCCGGAACAGCGTCCACGTCTGCGGCAGGTTGGCCACGATCACCGCCGTCGCCGCCTCGCGCACGTACCAGTCGACCCACTCGTCGCCGTACGGCTGCGAGATCGAGTAGTACTTCGACAGGATCGAGCACAGGATCACGAACGCCCCCAGCGAGAACACCCCCAGCAGCGTCAGCTTCTTGGTCAGGTTCAGCTTCGCCTTGACCAGCAGCGGCAGCGGGATCGCCATGATCATCAGGTCCGTCGCGACGTTGAGCGCCAGCGAGAGGATCAGGTGGTTGCGGTAGACGGAGCACTGCACGCTCTTCGGGGGCACGCTCCAGTACGCGGAAAACGGGTGGCACCAGCCGCCGAAGAAGAGGATCTCGATCAGCAGGAAGCACACCGCGCAGAACAGGCTGATGCCTTTGACCCATTTGTGCTGCGTCAGGCCCTTGCTATGATGGGGGTTAGTTTGCGAGACCAAACGGAAGGTTGGGCTGAAGACAGGTCTCACGTCATGGTCGAGTACAGCAGCAGCAGACACGCCTTGCACCCCCAGATTGTCCCCAACCACATCTGTTCCACCACGATGACCATCTTGCTGCCCAGGATGCGATCGGGGATGGTGGCGGGATCGATACTGTCGATCTGGTTCATGGGGATCTCGTTGGTTCCATGCTGGGCGACAAGTATGAGGAAGACCGTGAGTAGTATGTAGAGAATCTAGGGTGTATTAGTGGGTGTTGATGCTTCCAGTTGTCGCACGACCCGCAGATACGTACCACTGTCACCAGCATCACATAGTCCTCGATCTGCAGGTTACGAATCGAACCCACTTGCAAGGCACGGGAGACAAATCGCATGAGTGCTATCCTGTCCGTTAGAACCATCGCACAGAACGCATCGTAGTATTGTAGCATACTGATCAGCAGCACCACTGCAAACCACACCCAGGTGTTCGCACTGGACGTCATCCTGGAGTCCAAGTCCGAGAGGCTGGGTGGGGAGCCTGAAAGCGAAGGCGGTTTAGGTTTCGAGCTCCCTCAATATCCGAGTCATCTGGCTGCTCAGAGTTCAAGAAAGATTGTGAGTGAGTGTCAGCCAGGAACCGTAGGGCTGTCGACTCCCTTTTGTTCCTCACGCCGGGTTCTGACACTTGGGTTCGTGTGTTGGTCTCGTTCGGGGAGAGGGGGTTGCCTCGATCCAGTGAAAATAGTCAACGGGCCTGACGCCACATCGGCGGGTCAACCAATTCTTCAGGTGGCTATCGCAAAGTTTATCATTGCGATGGATTAAACAATTGGAGGGGAGGA